CAATGGGGGGTCTAGACCCGAAACCCTCCCCTGGATACGCCCTTGCACACGAGCGATAATAATCGAGCTTCACGGTGATCATAACGCAAGCGCAATTCTACTTATTTAACAGTCGCGTGCATTCACGTACATACGCTTTTGTGTGTAATTTATGTACTCGTACACAAATAATACAAGTTGACGTTGGACGGTGTTTATCAACATCGTCGGAACATTGCCACCGATCGAAACACCGTAGTTTGTTTACTTAATAATTACTTCATGCATTTCTTATTGGTTTATTGCTATTTTTGATAATAAACACGAAATAATATGCTTTATAATAAATGATAATTCATATTAATAAACTTGGCAAAGAAGAATTTTTTCTCATATAAAATCATAAAAACTTTAAAAACTATTATCGAAATATATGCTATCGGTGAGCTAAGAAATATACTTTTTGAATATTTTTTACTTAAAAATTTTAGGTGAGACGGCGCCTCACTTGCCTCACCCCCAAAACAGTCACTGCTTTAACCAATGTGAAATTTTTGATTCATTTTTGTCAATTCTTAAAATAACTTCCTCGAAGTACCAACTAAACAACATTTCCTATTATAAATCTCTTATAATTATGATGATCGGAATAATCTTTCTGGTCGAAATCGTGAGTGAACACAGACATAAAAAAATAACTCCTATCATGATAAAATCAATACATTCCTCGTTTTTCTCAAAACATAAAAAAAAAAGTTTTCATTTTAATTTTTATTATAAATAACTAACGAATTACTATAATGGTGTTGATAATTCAATAAATAATTATAAAATAAACTTTATTTATAGGATCTAAATTCTGAGCATATTTAACTACATTTCTGAAACTAGTAATTTTGTGTTACGACCAAAAATATTTTTACAACATTCATTGTTAGAAAAATGTCAATTTTTATCCAATTTTAGCTCTAGTTCCAAGATAGTTTCAAATAAGGTAAGTACTTAATTTAATTCGGTTCTTCATAAATAGTGCACGCTTAAGACCTTTTATTCTTTTTTTTAAAAAAAAAAAAAAAAAAAAAATAAATATATTAAATACTCAAAATAACATTTATTTATGCAGTTTTAGAAAAGTATGATGAAATAATGAAAAAAAGTTTAATAATATTTTAAATGTTAAAAAAACAATATTTTGTATTAATAAATTTTGGATAAAAATAAATAATAACCAAAGTATTTATATTTCTTAACATATTAATTTCTAATAAAAGTTAATTTTAAATAATCTCTTTTATAAAAATAAATGTAAACAAAAACTACCAATTTTTCTTAATTTATTCCTTCCTTTATTTGTTCATATTCAGTCACGATTTTATTGACTTTGTATGTAACTAATGATGAATTTTTAATTCCGAACCGATCTTACTTTACAAATATTATAATAATCCAAACTAAACGTTTATTTATTTATTCGTTTATTTATTTCTTAATATACATAAACTATTTGTTTATTTATTTATATATTCGTTTTTAGTTGAAAATATATTCAGTATTGTCATAATGATGTGATAATACGTATTGATACGTATAGCACCGGCAGATCCCCGCTCTTTACATCCCCTGAAGGATTTTCTGCATATTTTGTAATTTTTTTTATAAGAATGTGTATATGTGTGTATATCATTGTGAATAGTCATGGGATATTGTCCCTTATATGCCCTACACAAAGGGAAAATTTATTGAGACATTACTAATAAATTATAGTAATCCGTCACTTTAAGTATTATCTCACGGTGTTTCCTAATAGACAGTTTATAGCCAATTTAAAAAAAAAAAAAGGCCCTTATTTTAATTTTCAAGCCTTGATAATGCAATACCTACAGCTACATGTGAAAGAAACTGGCCCACAAGTTAGATATCTTTCTTTTGATTCCCCGAGCTATACGTTCGAGAAACATAGGGATTATGAGCGACGTACGGACCAACACGCAAATACACGACAAAATATAATTCAGTTCATTCGTATCATTAGAAAACTGTATAGTTCCAAACGAATGTGACAAAACGTTCAACAAGTATAATTTCAAGTAGAATACATAATTTTGCCAAATATAATATATTCGGCAAAATTATAAGCATTCGGCATATATAATAAATCATATGATTTTTGATATATGCCGAATGCTTACATGTTTCAAAAATAGCACGTGTAAATATAATTATTACAATTATTCATAGGTGTCTCCAGAAACTGTTTTATTGGTGGAAGGGGAGCAAAATTAATTTAAAAAATCGCCCTTTTGCCCCCCCTCCCTCTAAAATACGCCCTTTCCTTGAGGGTGGTTGGAGCATAATATTATTTTACCTAGTTTGCCAAAATATTTAAACTCCTTTGGGTCCACTACATACTGCCACCTTGTTATCTAGAAGAAACATGGAATGTTTACTAAAGATAGTACAATAACATTTCTTGAATAAATATAATTGAAGGATGGGAGCAAATTAATATATATAAAAAAATACAGTGCTGCTCATAGAAAATATTTTTCTGATAAACTCCGTTTCCAACGATGTATAGCTCCTAGATAAATAGTTCGTGGAAAATATATTTACGACCAAATATATTTCCAACCAAATAGGTTTCAAATAAAATGGGGTTCTGACAAAAAGCGTTTCCGAAAAATATATTTACAACAAAATGAGTTTCCGACCAAATACTTTTCAGAATAAATATGGTTCTGGGGAATACAGTTCTGACAAAATGCATTTCTAACAAAATATATTTCTGACAAAATACGTTTTTGATCAAATATTTTTCCAGATAAATATGATTTCAAGCATACGTTTTCCTACATTTACGCACGCCCTTGTCATGGGCATCCCCAGACATTTTTCTAGGGGGGGGGGGGCAAAATTAATTTAAAAAATAAATGAAAATTTTTTTATACATTTTATTTATAGTAAATTATTATATTTCGTCATTATTAAAATTATGAATTAAAACATTACTGATATTTATGTATAATGTACAATTAAAACATCACTCAAAAAATACATTAAGATAAAATAGTCCGATTATTATTAATGAAGTTTTCATAGATAGCCGTCAGCCGTGCGTTGACATAATATGTTATGGAAACTTAGTAGACCTATTTTTGAAACTAATTTATCATTTGGAATTTTACCAATTTCTGTGGAAATAACATTATTCCAGGGGGGGCAAGTGCCCCGTTTTGCCCCCCCCCTCCCTCTGGGGACACCCATGGCCCTTGTGAATCTGTTTTAAATTTTGGTTATTTGAAATATATCGTTTATTAAAAATTCATTCACTCAAATGTACTTTTGTACGCATACATAAATGTAGCACAATTTTAGTCATAGTTCAATAACATTAAAAACAATATAAAATTCGGAAATATTTTTTATTATTAATTTAAACTAAAGTTGAAGTAACAAAATTTAATTCATATAATTAAATGATTTATTTATGGATAATGCTGTTTAAGAGTTAATTAATTTTTTTTTTGATATAATATTGTTAAAACAATACTATAAAATATAATAAACATAATAAACAAAATAAAATATTATGACCAATAATTTTTAAAAATTTTATCGTAGACTGAAATAAATCATTTTTGAAAATTGTAAAGTTCCTGTAGATTTAATTTATTTACTATCATGGTATATTTTATATGAAGAGTTAAGACTATTTTTAGAAAAAATAAAATAAATTAAGTTTCTATTAAAATAAGATTAAACAAAAAAAAAGGATTATAAAAATACTTACACAACATGTTTAAAAACATACCACCAGAGCAGCCTCGTGAAAATCATAGATGCAGGTGGTATACAGCCAGTGGCGTGCCCAGCAGGTAGGCCTGGTAGGCCCAGGCCTACCCTGTTATCGAATAATAATTATTAATATTTTTCAAGAAACATAATTTTATACATTTTTTTGCTTCATAATACGATATGTAATTGAATCATTTTGGAACAAAGATTATTTATTTATTACCCACTTGTAGCAAGCGTTTATACGTTATTAATAATTATTTCCTTCGTCGCAAACAATTGTAGCCACAGTACTGCTTATCGGCTAAAAATAGTAAATAATAGACAATAATACACCCGAAGTGAGTTATTTATACATTCGTCACTGGCCGTTCACTGCGGACAATCGTCATTTGATATAAGATAATGAATATGGTTTACAAAATATGTTATTTTTTGGTATTAATAATTTATTACTTTATTACAGTGTGTACTGTGTAGACGTATTATAGTGACTTGTGTATAACCGAGCCAATCGAGGAAATCGTTTTATTCGTTTTTTCTGTTTTTGTTTATGTACACTATTAGAATAACCTAAGTACTTTTTTATTTTATATTGATTATAACTTGACTAATAATTAAATAAAAATAAAAATATGATTAGCCAATTTTTTAAACCTATTCCGAAACCCACAAGGACATTGAACGATGATGATAGTACAATATATCAACCACAAACAAAAATGTAAAAATTAAATGTTACCTCGACTTCTAACGAGTCTTCTATTTCCTCGTCTAGTTGAAATGTGCTTGATATTAGCTTAAATAGTGATGAACAACCTATTCAGCCGATTATAAATTTTCCACGTCGTAAAATTTGTGAAAAACAACGTAGTTTTCAAAATTCATGGTACAAAGTTTATCCTTGGATTGAATATTCTGTTCAATTGGATGCAATTTTCTGTTTTTTTTTTGTCGTCATTTTACTAGTTCTATATCTCGTGAAAAGCATCAAGATGTTTTAATAGCCACAGGATATAATAATTGGAAAAATATTTCGGGGGTGGCAAAAAAACATAACTCGGCAGATTCACATAAACCATCGTTAGCCAAATATCAAGGTTATATATCATCAGAAAGTATAGGAGCTGTTACGACTCAAATGAATAGTCATGTCAAAGAGAATATAAATAAAAATCGAGAAGTATTAAAAAGTGTAATTCGTTCAGTTTTGTATTGCGCACGACAGAATATAGATTTACGTGGTCACAATAATGTAATCGAATATTCAAATGAAGATGAACACGACTTAGAAACTACAAAAAATCAAGGTAATTTTAAAGAACTATTAGATATACTTTGTTTGGAAAATGAAAAGTTTAATATAAATTTAAAGTCCCTACCTAAAAATGCTAAATATATTCAAATAAAATCCAAAATGATATTTTATTTGCGTCTTCAAATGTCATTTTACAAACTATTATTAGAGAAATGAATGAAGGTAGTTCGGTTTATAGTTTAATTGTTGATGAAGCTCGTGATGCGTCAACATTTGAACAAATGTCAATATGTATCAGATATGCACATAAATTAACTATAAAAGAAAGGTTCTTAGGATTTGTACAAGTAGAAGAATTAGATGCACTAGGCCTAACTAATTCTATTATCGAATTTTTAAATTCAGTTGGTTTAGATATTACAAAATGTATAAGTCAATCCTACGACGGTGCATCAGTAATGTCTGGTTCTACCAATGGCGTACAAGTAAAAATTAGAGAACTTTCTAAAAACAAATGCCCTTATATACATTGCTATGCACATCAGCTTAATTTAGTTTTGGTCGATGTTGCTAAATCAGTTGAGATTGTTGACAATACGATTGGATTGCTTGAAGCAATTTATGCATTTCAATCGAGTTCAACTTTACGTTATAAAATATTTTCTGATGTCCAAAAAGATTGTGAAATAATTTTAAAAGTCCCTCAACATAGTGATACTAGATGGGTTGCAAAATATAAAGGTATTCATTTTTTTTTAATTCGTTTTCAATATGTCATAAAAGCTTTATCACAACTGTCAAGTAGCTCAAAAAAAAAAAAAGAGGCCGTAGAAGCCAAAGGATTATTAAACCAATTTTGATCGTTTGACGTATTATTTGTTTTAACATTTCTTGATAACCTTTTATCAACTATCAACGTACTTTCAATATATTTACAATCTTCTTCTCTTGATATAATTAAGTGTTTAAATTTAATTGATGCTACAATAAAAGAGCTTCAAAGTTTACGTTCGGATGAATTTTTCAATAACTTTTATAAAAAAGCTCAAATTATGGCTTCAAATTTAAATATATCTATGGATAATTATGAAAAAAGACAGAAAAATATTAATAGTAAATGTAAAGTGATTAAGTAATTACTTCAACAATTGGCTTAAAATGTAATAAAACTACGACTCAAAAATTGCGAATTATGTATTTTACAGTAATAGATAATATGTTGAATGAAATGAAAAAAAGATTTAATAACAATTCAGAATTTTTAACTGCTATTTCAGTATTCAATCCGATATCGACAAACTTTTTAAATAATGATTTTGTTTTAAAGTGTATAAATTATTATGGAGATGATAATTATTTCTCTGACCAAGTAATAAGTCAAAGCAAATTAGCAAAAAATATGTACAGTAGTTGTAAAAATATCATAGATTTTTACAACGAAATGGGGCAGTCATTTGGAAAAATTAAAAAAGTCATTGAACGATTGTTAGTTATACCTGTAAGTTCAGCACCGGCCGAAAGAAGTTTTTCAACAATGAAAAGGATAAAAACTTATTTACGAACATCTATGTCTACTACACGTCTTCATAATTTAGCTCTAATTTCTATTGAGAGGGAGTTAAGTTTTGAATTAATTCAGGATCTTACAAAGATTGTTGACGAGTTTACTAAATTGAAAAATCGAAGAATTCAATTCACTAAATAATTATTATATTTTATATTTTTATGTACTTATAATTAAAAAAAACTATTGTTTCATTTGCATTCATTTAGGTATTATTCAGTTATATAAAAATTTAATTTTAATTTTTAATATGTAACTTTAAGTATTATTAACAAGTCAAATAAGAGGAATAAATTGTGTTGTATTATATTATTTTATAATCATTTTTTCTAATTCAATTTAAAAATATTATTAAGTTTCTAAAAAAAAAAATAATGTGTATTGTGTACATATATAAACTAAAATAATTATAACCGGGCCTATTCTACATTTCGATCCTGGGCATGCCTCTGTGTACAGCATCAGGGCTCGCAGGGTCAAAGGGCCCATAATAAACGGCCATCAATTTTTTTTTTTATTTGATTTAATTTGATTCATAATTATAGTATTTATTATCTTGTACTTAATTTTATATAACAAAATGTAAAAGTCTGGTCCGTTTTATTTGGAATTGTTTATTTAAATATTGAGAAAAATACTAAGCTAGAGAGACATAAATAGATTACTTTTATATTTTATTGTAAATCATATTTATAAAATCAATAATCATATTTTCATATTATATATTTTATCTATCTTTGTAATTTATTCTACAAGTTTTTTTTTATTAATAAAATCTACCCAATATACAATTGTGATCTTGTATACCCTACTAAATTAAGCGTTATACAGAATTGTATTAGTGGGAAAATTATTTATCGGTTCTTTAAAATTCAATACATCCACAAATACTATCTGATCTAAGAAGTAAAAAATTCTAATAGTGTGAAGTTAGTCCAACGTTTTTTATGTATCTCAAGAAAGAGGAGTCCATGTATATTTGCCTGGGTCTTTGACACTTTAGTTATGGCACTGCATCAGAGTAAGAATAATATGTGTTTGGGTAAAATATTTAAATGTGCTTTTACATAGACTAAATAAAATTTAGTATATAAATTTTCAATTTGAAAACATTGTTAAGAAACTATATATATAAAAAAAAAAATACAATGAAATATGAATAGTATCCTTACTTCTTTAATTCTGATACATGACACTTAATTATAAGTATAATTTTTTCATGAAATACTGAATAAAATAATAAATGTCAATTTCTTGTTCCCTATAAACATAATATATACTTCTAATATAACATCATTTTAGTTTATAAAAAATATTTTGATAAATAAATAATAAACATTTTATTTTTTATTTTTCTTAGCAAGTTTATTAATTTCATGAGCTTGATTTGCGCCCCAACTATAAATTTGTTTAACCTTATTGCGTCTTTCCGCATCACTAAAAATTGAAACATTATTAATAACATGAAAGAAATTATCGATTTTGTATTGATATATACAAATATACTGTTTGCTGTGTAAACTTACCTTTTAACTTGTTCGTGATGTTTAAGTTTAGATAAGAAACTATTATCTTTTCTAATTTCTCTAACAGCAGATTTCATTTCACGTTTATATCGATGTTGAAGTTTGGTTCTTTCTGCATTTTCCTTAGATTGAGTTTTAAATGTTCGCCCATCGTATCTATTATTAAAATTTTTATAACATAAGACTGTGAGATCATAATATTATAAGTATAATATAATATACATACACTTTTTGAATTCTAGGCTCATATAAACGAAGGGCTTTTGGTCTATTTGATAATGTCTGCAGTTTTTCTAATTTTTTATCAATTATTTGTAATTGTATCTTTGTTGTATTAATTTGTTCGTTCATTTTATCAGAATCAATCTAAAAAAAATACATAATATATTATCTATTTACCATTGATGTTCCATTAAAAAATATAACAACAAATATTATTCACAAATTATTTGCTTTTAAATTAGTATATTCCAAAAATACTGTATGTTATTTTATATCAACATATGATATGCAATGTTTAATGATATTGCACTTTATTTTTATTAAAATAAATGTCCAATAAAGTCGCTACTATAACTAATATTATGTACATAAAAAATACTGAAAAAACTTTTATATAGAATAAAAATCATAGATAAAACTATGAATAATACTACAAAATACCTTAAAGTATATGAAATAAGTTGAATACAAAATGGCAAGTTCAATACCTTTAAAACAGTTTTAAATTCAAAAAATATTTCTACTAATATAGTTACTTGAATAACATACTGGTAATTTTCTTTGAAAAATATATATATATTAAAATATAAAATTATTACGGATTAGTTTTGATAATATACTTAATCAATTATTTTCAAAATGTTCTGTTCTTATTTTTTTTTTTTTGATTTGAACATAATATTTATAAAACTGTAATTTTAATAACTTAAGATTCATACCAATAGTTATTACTCTTAAATGATTATGTATTATTAAATTTCATTAATTAATTGTCAAATAATGTTTTAATTATTTTTGCCAGTGCCATATGCTAATAACATGTATTATTATTTAATAAATGAATAAAATTGGAACTTTTTTATAAATAGTTCTTAGTAAGTTTGCAAAAAAAAATAAATAATTTAAAACAATAAAAGCTGGTTGTTTAGTTAAAATAAATTTTGAATTATTCAGTATATTTTTCTCATGAGTTTCTTAAAACCAAGTTTGCGTCGGTGAATTAAGAAATTTTAATATAATTGAACTATTATTAATAGTTCAATAAGAAAAAATATTATTAAATATAAAGTCAATAAAAAATGTTTAAATAAAAATAGAAAATTACCTTTAATTTATTAATAATTGACAAATGAGGTGTCCAAATTTCTTGAAGACTAGGTATATCTGCACATAATTTACAAAACCTACAAACTAAATCTAATGTAACATATAATGTAGTCAATTTAAATGCATCATCAATGTCTGCTTCACTGTATATTTCATTTATGCTTAATTTTGATGGCCATACAATTTGAGTAGAATCATTTTTTATAATCAACATCTTCATATTTGATCTAAATTGTTGAACAAGAGTCACAGGATTATCCTCCGTGGCCATCAATAACATGCCTCGTAATATATTTATTGTTTCTGGTATGTAACGTTTAGACAACTGAATATACTAAACACAATACATAAAAAAAAAAAACTTAGAAAATAAAAATATTATTAAGGATAAACTATTTTTTAATTTTATATTATATATTTACTTCTAATAAAATTGTAGTTAATAATAAACATGAAGCTATATCTGAACGCTTTCTAATCTTTGCTAGAGAGAGTAACTCACTTGCTATCATTACAGCACAAGTACAAACTGGATGATAATAGTCAGATGATGGAAACAATAATGGAACTAATTTTAAAAAAATTAACTAAAACCAAAATATAAAACTCTAATTTAGTTTACTTTGTACAATATTTGAATTGATTTCAAATTACTGTATCTGAAGTTATTTTTTTAGATGATGATTCTATAAAATCTGTATGCTTTTCTTTCAGCACCTCAATAAAGCATTTAGCTGCATACTCTGGGAAAAACTGTGTTAGGTCATACAAATGAGAGGCTAATGAATTAAGAATTTTCCAACCATCCTAAAAAAGCAATATATATATATAAATAACAATATATTAATTTAAAATTATATCAAAATACTTACAATAGAATCAGAATTGTCATTTAAATATTGTAAGAGATAAGGATACAAGCGTTGTAAATTTGACCTGTTATCGTTACCTAAACTTGGATGATTTAATTTAATCATTCGCTCAATGATTATTATTTGTTCTGTAAAACATCTCTCTTCTAATGTTTCTTGGAAACTCTCATATGATTCAGGCACTAAAAATAAATATACAATTCAATAAATATAAATGTATTATAAAATAGAAAAAAAAATGAATTAATAATAAACTAGCCTAGCTAGTCTTGACATTTTTACATTAGGATTATCGTAAAGAATAATCTATAATTGGTACAGATTAATTATTGTATATATATATAAGTATTGTTTAAATATTTTATCCATTGTAAAATTTTAACTATATATAAAAATATTCCTAAATTAACAAGATATTTGTTATTAGTAATCTAAAGTTATTATTTATAGTCTAAAGCAGTGATTCCCAACCTTTTTCCTTTGGTGGGCCACTTTGGTAAACAATTATCTTCAAATGGGCCACAAAGTATAAAAGTACAAAAATAATCTTATATATTGGACTTGTTTTCTTATCTTTTATTGTCCATTGAAAAGATTATGAATTGAGGTACACATCGTAGGTATACATTAGTTAGATCAGTACGTTATTTTAAGTACCTACATTTAAATATTTAAAATTTAAAATTATAAGAACCTGGAAAACTTATATTTGACATGTATAATACTGTTAAAGCATTTGATGCAATATTACAATTATTTATTGATCAAATTGAGCGCAGTGACTTTAGCCATTTTGAAAACTGCCAAATGTTTAAAAATTAAACAAAACCGTTATGTTCAACAAATCGATTTGTAGAAATGTTAAAGAAGTCCAAAACCGATTTTTCATCTCAATTTTCTGATGTTAAATTACATGAGAAATTGTGGCGTTTATTTGAAAATCCATTTAATATTGATGAAAATGATGTAGACACTTTTCTTCAACTTGAAGTTATTGAGTTGTAAACAAATTCATTTTACTGTGATAAATTTCAAAAAATGAAACAAAACAATATTTTAAAATTTTATTCAAAACTTCCACATGAAGATTTCCCTACTTTAAGAAACTTTATAATGTATTTGGCTGGACGTATGTATACAAACAAATATTTTCACCAATGAAACAAACATAGATCGCGACTTACGGATAAACACCTTCATTCAATTTTGAGGATTAGAACCAATAAATTTCAACCAGATTTTTCATTATTAGTAAAAGGAGTACAAGCTCAAATTTCACAATAAAAATAAGAAGATAATAGTTTTGTATAGTTTTTAGTTTTATTATTATCATTATAATTGTATTTTTTGGAATAATTATTTAAACGAATTCATAAATTTATATAAAAATAATATATGATAATAAATAATTTAAAAATGTTTTCATACATTTTTAAAAATTTTTTTTATTTTAGAAAATTTGTAACGGGCCACATAGAATACCTTCGCGTGCCATATGTGGCCCGCGGGCCGTGGGTTGGGCACCACTGGTCTAGAGTTAAATTTAAAATTAGACTCCCAATAACAAAAAAAAAAAAAAAAGTAAAAATAAAATTTAAAATTTACAAATAACTCAAAATGAAATCTATATGTATTCAATCTTTTTTTTTTTATTAAATTTGTTGCTTATACACTTTAAAACTAATAAGAAATAAATAAAAACTGTAGATAAATTATGTGCTATAATAAAATTAAATGAGAACCAATTTATTTAATAGATAAATTACTAAAATTGAAGTTTAACATTTTTACATAGATTCATAGTTATTTTTGTGGTAAATTACCTGTAAAAGTAAAAGGTAACTGTTTTCGAGCTTCATCCATTATAATTTTTTTTTCTTTTAATTTCTGAACAAATAATTTTTTTGATTTATTTTCATCTAGTTCTTGAACATCTTGATTTGTTTCTTCATTGCTGGAACTCGCATCATCTTCTTTTAGATCACTCATATCATTATTTATATTGCTATCATCATCATCATCATCTGAATCTGATGCATTATTATCATCTTCTCCATTTTCATTTTCATCATCATCTAAATCTTCTTCGTTATCATTCTTATTTTCCTCATTGTTGAAACCTAGAATATTTAACAAAATATTTTTTATAAAAAATAACTTTTAAAGACACTATATAATAGTTTCTTATACAATATATGTATAAAATATAAAGAAACTAGTTATTAGATATTATTAATTTAGAAACATTTTTTACTTAATATGTTTTACAACTTTTTCAGTGTTTTAAATATTAATTTACACAAATTAATTCAACCAGTTTTTCCTACCCTAATATATCTGCTCCCTTTTAAGATGAAATTTTAAAATTTGAAACATAAATAAAGCTAAAATAAATAAAAATACTAGAAAATTGAGACTCTTAGTTTTAAACATTCTCAACATGAGAAAATTTCAAATAATGCATTTTTGTTATTGACTTATTATCAAAATTATAAGACACTTTTTGTGTAAGTAGAAAAGTGAAATTTAACAGAGATGTAGATTTTATAATATCAGTAATAGAAATAATCTTAAAACTAATGCCTTAGGGTAGTTAGGTTTGAGGGAAATTTTTTTATTATAGATTGGTTACATTCTAAATGAGACATAAAACACTAGTAACAGGGAGAAAACTCAGAATGAAAAAAAAAGGTTCACTCCCCTCGCTAGATCAACTTACCAAAGTGGTGATATTTGTTAATATTGTGGCCAAATCTGTTAATATGTTTTATTTAGAAACTTCTAGAAGTATTTAATGATAAAAAAAGTAAACTTAGCCGCTAGGTAGATTATATAAATTGTATGTCGCGTCTAGACATGCACAGACAGAAAATGTATGCTCATGCTGTATATCGTGTGTGCTCAGTATAAACGTTTTTATGCACAATAAGCTTGTATGATACTGAGTAGTAAATATGGTGATTATCACAACGCAAAACAAACACGAACTGACTTATTCAGCTTGCATTCGCTGTTTATGCGCGCTCGAAATACTGTCCACACTAAATACATTTGTAGAATACACATCATGAACACACATGCTTGGACTGAAATTTATTGCCTTTTTTTCACAGTTAAATTTTTGTTGAGTTTCAATTTTTCATTTGTGTTATACAATATTATATTAGAATGTTCTAAACTTTTATTACTTTAATAATAAGTATAACACTATATTATTTAAACATTATAAAAATATAAGTTTTAATTATAAACATTACCATTTTCATCTTCATTAACAGGAATTAAATCACCACAGTTGAGTGGTTTTCCTTCAGAGTTATAAGCTAAAGGTTGTATCTCATCATCACCAAAATCAAAGCTAAACCAAATAATTTACATATAAATAATAATATTAACTATTTTAACAATAATGATATACAATATAATATAAAATTACAAACCCATCATCCAAATCATCAGCACTCCTATGTTTAATAACACTATCATCTTCAAATCCTTTCATTCTTTTTAACCTTTCAGATTCTAATTTTTCTAATCTTTCTTTTTCATCTTTAGCGATTTCTTCTTCAGATTTTAATTTATCACTAGCCTAGAAAATATATATATATGCTGAATATAATAATCTAATTATATTAACATAAATAAATTCAGAATTTTTAAAAAAAGGGACAGTAAAATTATTCAAAATTAAATTTGCATTATAAATATACTATTTTATTATTAAAAAAATATTAAATATATATATTAAAATACAGTTAATAGAGAATATATATAATAAGTAAAATATAATAATAAAAAAACTTACCATTCCTCTACGATCAAATTTTAAAGATCTCATTAGAACATCATATGAATTTTTGTCAACTTTTTTTTTAGTAGGAGGCTCATCTTCATTATCTATTTCACCATAATTTTTAGTAGGAACAACAGGCATAAGTTCTTTCCAATCTTTATCTAACTGTTCAGTCAGCTCGTTAGTTTCTTGTTTGAGTTGTTTTTTTTCATACTTTCTTATTTTTGATTCAGCTATCAATTTGTCAATTAAATCACGATGACTACTTTCACCATCACCAGCTTTACTTAAAACACCTCCACCGAAATGAGCTTTCTCAACAAACTCAGCTACACAACATTTTATTAAATTTATTATTAGAAAAAATAACATAAAAAACAGTAATAAACCAATTGTTTTATTAAGAACCTGCTAACTTTCCACCATTCCGACCATCATCAGAATCGGAATCATCATCACTCATAGGTTTTTCAAATTTTTCAATTGTAGACAATGTTTGACCATGATGAGTAAGATCTTCTTCTTCACCTAAGTTATATTTCATTTTCTTAAATAAAAAAAAAAAAGTTATAAAACAATAATTCAAATTAATATTAATAAATATACACCTTTTGAGCTCTGACTCTGCTTGCAGTGAATCGAGCAATAACACGGTCTTCTGCTGTCATTGCACGATTTTTTTCTCCGATTCGACGATCAACAAATTTATTTGATTTATCTTTAAACTTATACTCGAGCAATAAAGATTTCTTCCTCTGAAATTATTAAGTATAATATGAATTAAAATCCATATTAATAAATAAATTTGAATGAACCTTTTGAATAGATTTGGATCGTGCAATACCAGGTTGGCCGACTTCATTTTTGGATTTACGACCCAATATTGTAAATTTTTTATTATTTATGTGTAACTCGAAAGGATTAAGTTTTTTCTCTTTTATTTTTTTATTAACTTTCATTTTTCACTATTGTCAAACAACGGTCTATATTAGTATGAAGTATAAAAATTAAGTTTGTACAACACAACAATCAAGACGTGAATGCCTAACAAAATCACAACTCACGTGTTCATAACTTGTTTATTGAGATAACAATTTATCATAAAGCTATCATTGCAGAATACAATGCATGGAAGAACAACAGGTGATAACGACCGAAATACCGGAATTTCATGCATCACCAATCTTGATATACATACAACAAAATTCCTATTTTAATTTTATTATTAATGGTATTGCAGTAATAAGTAATTAAAAATAAGCATATTCGTATTATAAATAAGAAATTTAATAAGATAATGGACGAAATTTCTAAGTAGGGTGATCATCCGGTAATGTACAATGATGGGAGAATAATATTGCTATATTGGTCTTTTAAATTTGTAACCAATGTAGATAACATAGCTCCCAAAAAAAAAAAAAAACGATTCCGTTTAGGGTAGCCACCTTTACAAAAAGTTTTAACTGAAGACCTAGCACGAAAACTTGTAACTACAAAATATAATACTCTATCAGCATTTTAACCTTGTTGAATTTATTTCTTCTATCATTAATAAATTACTTTATAATTATAAATTTATCATATATATTAAATATAAATTAAAATTTTTTTGTTTTCTTTATTAAAATATCTAAAAGGGTGTTTTCAGTGATGGATCCATGGTGGTAGGGTTTTAGACCCCCCCCCCACAAATAAGGAAAATTATATAAAAATATATATTAAATATTATATTAATATATATTAAAAATCAATAATTTTATGAATTAAGAAAAAGATTTTTTTTGAGGAAAAGTATATAATTTTTATTTTTATTCATACAAGAAATTAGCAGTCTTAGATTTAAATTAAAGTATTATATTAATTACTGTTATCTCAATTCATTATCATTCACTGACTGCAATGTTATAAAAAAATATCCCAAGGGAAAACATTTTTCAACCCCCTCTTCCCCTCGCAAAAAAAGAAAATCCTGGATCCGCCACTGATTGTTTTAATCATTTTTCTTTGAGATTTTCCATTTCATTTTTTTTTCGTATTAAATTTGTATAAGAAAAAACAATAGAGTGGATTTTCAATTTTGAAAAGGATTGTCAACAAATGTCTTAACCCGTCTTAACCTGCAAAAACAAATTACTTCAAAATAAAATTCCTCGAAATTAGTGATTAAATTGATTAGATAGTTGATATAGTAGTTTTTTTTTTTTTTTTTATTTAGCTTTTAGTATTAACTATTACAGCTCAACAATTATATTATCTACAACGTAATTAAATTAACAATAAGATATTGTATCATAATATTGAATAGGTATACAGAATAGAAAAAAAAAACCAAAAATATAATAATATTAATAAGGTTAATATAAAGATAAGGGCGTATAGATTACATAAATAGGTTGAATGCAATTGTTGGTAATTGGTTGTGATAATTTATGGGGAATTCGTTGTGAGTTTCTTTATTAGGACGGTGAGAAGGGAAAGTAGAGGGTTTAATAAGATTTTTATTTCAATCAGAAATGTAGATATAGTATCAGGAATAGTGTGTGTTGGTTGCTCTGAAGATATGTTGGCATACGTTGGACCCACTTTGGTGTTGTTGCCATGATGACGAGTACGAGCTTCTTGCCTTTGAGTATCTGGCATTTTTGTTTTTTTTTATTTGATAGTACCAATTTCTTGCGAATTGGGCATCCTTTGTATGAGGCTGTGTGATCACTAGAACACAGAGCGCATTTAGCCGGGAGTGACCGGTCTTTGATACAGTTCGCAGAAAGATGGTCCTCACCACATTTGACGCACCTAGGGGAGTGACAACAGTAATTGCGGGTATGACCATATGCCATAGTAGTTAATAACTTAAAAAATATTTTAAAAATTATAGATACCATCTAGGTACCTATAAAGCTCCTTAACTAATACATACCAAATAGAATCCATTTCCTTTAATTTACTTTGGTAATAATCAGAATATTCCTTTTAGTTAAAATCGAAAACACGGAAAAAAAAATCATACATCATAGTAAAACCAATACATTCCTCGTTTCACTCAGAATCTGAAATCTAAATACAATTACAGGAACTTTTCTTCACGACTCTATTCCTGCGTTGTATTTATTAATCTTTTTTTGGCATTACTGTGCCAAATCTACCACTTTATTAGCTACTATTACGGATTCCCTTCGCTTATTTTTTCCTTTCATACACGTTTCATCCAGCCATTTGCTTCTTTACGATTCACTCTTTGAGGCTTTATTGTTAGATGTTCCTTCATTTATCTGTCCAACATTTCTGGATTTTTCTATTTCAACTATTCGATCCTTCCCTCCTTCCACTATAAATATTTTATTTAATTACTTTATTACCACTCATTATCCCAATAATTGCTTAATATTCACCGACGGATCAGTTTCGACAATATCCGCTGGTTATTATTTTTATATTTCTAACGTTTCTATGAAGTTTTCCAATAATGTTCCCTTATCTGCCTCTTCTTTCATAATCAAATACCTTGCTATAATTGACGCTCTTTATACTATTAAGTCTCTATCTATTCGTAACTTTGTCATTCTCTCCGATTTTCAAGCTTATCTCATGGCTTTAAATTATTTTTCTTTTCAATTCTACCTCTCATCTCGTCCTTCTAATTCGTACAATCTTGCTCATGCTCGCCAATGATAGCTCTAATATTATTGTTGTGTCTCCGGTCATACCGGTATCATAGGCAATGAAATTACAGATCTTCTCACTACTTCATACACCAATTTTATCCCTTCACCTATTAAAATTCCATATTCCGAATTTTCACCAGCTCTTAAAACCTTTGCATCAAAGGCTTGGAATCAAAAATGGGTTAACCTATCCCCAACATTTGCCGCATCTTTTCGTTTAGTTTATCCCTCCATTTTATCTTTTCCCTGATTTCATAATATTCCTATTTTGCGCAAAATCATAGTTTCCTATTCTCGCCTCCAACTTGGCTACAATGGCCTCCCAGCTTACTCCTTTTATTTATCCTTTAATGATTCTCCTTATTACTCTCGTCATGAGAACCTTATTTTATGCAACGCTCCTCATTTCTTGTTTAATTGTCCTGGTCTCCTTTATAGCCGGCGACATCTTTTCACATATGTCTTACCAACAAAGTTTCTTTTACTCTACTGTATGTCTTTCAATCTTTAAATCCATCCTTGGTTAAAGCCATTGTCAAATTTTTCCTCTCAGAGGGTTTTTTATTGTAATACATTTTTTCTATTAGTATATACATAGGTATATACATATATATGTGTTTATGTATGTATGTATATTTATGTGAAGGTTTAAGTTAGGTATTTATAAAAATGTTTTTCATCTCTTTCTCTTTCTTTTCGTTGTATATTATTTTAACTGTTGAGATAAATGTGTTTTAATATAAGTTTCTTTAAAAAAAAAAAAATTTAAAAAATTACAGGAACTGTTAATAATATTTTTAAAAGTAACTATTAATTATTATTAAACATCATTTGGCGAAATATGCAATTAAAATATTTAATGAGAAGTGATAATTATACAAAATTATATAATGTATATTGAATGAACGCTTGCACAAGTTTCCAGATAACTATTAAAATTTAAATCTAAATAATAAGTGTTAAGTTTTTGATAAGATTAATAAAAATTTTAATAGGTACTTACATTTTTTTCCAACAATGACCTTGAACCATACAATATAAGTATTATCATCAATATAACATTATCTTAAAAATGATTAACGAAAGTTCGACTACGGATCAATTTCAGTTCTTAAATATTTTTAAAAATATTGTTTTTGTTTTAAAAATATATTAAAATATAGATATCAACTTAAGATAGAGTTATATTTTTGACATGTTCGAATCACAATCTTGTAAAAAATACATGTCCACTTATTTCCCCTTTAGTGAAATTGAACGTATTCTTTCAGGTAGCTGTGACTTATAATAGATTTTTTCTACATGTTATAGAATTTTGGTAGCTATTTCTCCGTAATTTAAAAAATTTAAAAAGGTATGCTTTATAACAGTACAAATTACTAATTCACTTTATGGTGATTTTATTGAATGAGTGCCACAGTTCACAAATTATTATTACACGAAACTGTTATTAAAAAATATTAACCTTTGCCAGAAGGGCAACTGTCAGAAGATGTAATAGACAAATAATAGAAAAAACCTAAAAAAAAAAGAAAACCGAAATCATTGAAGTTAAATTAAGTGTGCTCAGGCTGCCTTAATTCTGTAGCGCAGCTGGTGATGATGATAATAATGCTGCTGCTGTTGCTGATGATGATAATGATTATAATGGGAATGGTGACAGACCCGTAGCCAGACCAAATCATCAGATGGGCCAAACCAAATTTTAGAGGAGTATTAGAAAAAAACAATATAGTACATTACATAAAACATAACGTGGTTTTTATCTATATAATTAATTCAAAATATAAAAATAATAAAAGCATATTTTTGTTTTAGAACACTATTAGCATGTATTCCAAACTAACACTAATTAACCATTTTTTTTTAAAGATAAATATGAAACAGACTCATCAAAAGCATTTCTAATCAAAATACCAAAAAAATTACGTTTTATATTTTTGTCGTTGTAAATTAACAATTTGTGTTACACGACTGTTTTTTCCTTGATAAAAAGGTTAAAAAAAGGTTATTAAAATTTTTTCCTATGAGTCATCACCAAACACGTTTGGTTATATTTTACTTTTAAACTTTTAACTCAGTTATCTTTTAACATGAATTCAAAATGCACCATTGTCACCAGGCCCAGCTCAAGTGGTAGGCGACATAGGCCCACGCCTAGGGCGGCATTTTTCCTGGACAATTTTTATGTATAAAAAAAAATATTTGATAAAATATTTACACCCAAGGGGTGACAAAAACTAAATTTCGCCTATGTTTGTTTAAACACTTGAGCTGGGCCTGATTGTCACTGAGTTTTGTATCATCGATTGCAATTACGTTGAAAACGACATAACCATCGTATTTACTGGTTACATTAAATTAATTAACAAACACTTCTCCCCGAACATTTTTAGTTC